AATATTACTTGATTTATTTAATTTGGAACTCTTGATCGACTAAATCCTTAATGGCAAATAATCAATTGTCAGTTAATCATTAGCGACACTATTCCTGTTCCTCTGGCAGGTTGAGGATGCTGAATGAATGTTTTCAACATTCACAGGAATGAGTTTTTGGGTTGATGGTGACTGTGTGAGAGACACTGGTGCATTACATCTCCTGGGACTGGAATTCAAATCCCACCTGCTTGTGGAAAACCAGCAAAAACAATAAATATATATTTATGTACTTTGTTCATGTTGTGTATATTGTCTGATCCTGTCTGTAACTGCTGCTGTAACACAGAAATTTCCCTTTGTGGGATTAATGAAGTTCGTCTTATCTTAAATTGATGCTGCTAAATTACCCATAGTGTGTGCATGTGCGTCTGCCCTGGGATGGACTGGCAGCTTGTACTTGGTGACTACCTGCCTTGTGCTTTCTGCAATCCTATGCTTAGATAAGTGGTCGGAAGATGGATTATTTTTTTTGGCCTGCATAGCCACTAGGTGGCAGTGTTTCACTTAAACTGTTGATGCAAAGATTGCTGTTTATCCTGACACTCTAGAACTGGAGTAAACCACTAATTAGATCAAGTGTGTGATACATGAAGGGAAGTCAAGAATTAGTATTAGGTAGTAATGGCTATATTTTTGTTCTTTTGTGTTCCAGGTAGTGGTTCTGTGCCACACTTCTTCCACATCATTCTACAGGATATAATTGGGTGTCGAGGCTCCTGCTCTTGTCGGGGTCACTGATGGCAAACGGGTCTAAGCAGAGGCGGCAGAGATGCAGAGATGTCAATGGTAAACCTCATGAAACCCTTACTGGTGTTCACACTGGGACAGAGAATGATACCCTGTAGGCCTGATGATGGCCCCCTCAGTTCAGAAAGCACTCTGTGTGACTCTTATAGAGAAGCAGGGGTTCCTCAGAGTACGCCATGTGTTTTTGAAGCAGGCAGATCAAAGCCTTTTGGACGTCCAGTTGCGATGCTGCCATGTGAGAGATTCCGAAGCTTAAAGAAAGGCTCACTGTTGGGGCTTATGGTGTACTGGGCATGAATCACACAGCTAGAGGTGCTAAGGCTGGAAATGGATTGCTTACAAGTATTAACAAATTTAGATGGACGATAGACATTGATTGATTGCTCAGGAAATGGACAACAAAAGAAATTATAAGATAAGATAAGGCTTTATTGATCCCACACCAGGGGGAAATTTACTTGTTACTACAGCTTAAAATTAAAGATGAGTACCAATAGTCTATGACCTGGGATTGTACTGTATATGTGCCGAGTGCTAGAATATGTAAACCTAGGCCATGAGGTTGGGTGGTTCAGTGTGAGGAGACATGGGACATATCAGTTACGGTAATGATAAAAAAATAATAATAGTAATAATAGTAATCGTGCAATGATGTGGGAGGCTGGGGCTGCCTCTACATTCCAGGTGTATGTGTGAGTGTCTCAGTGCAGTGCTGGTTGCTCTTGTGCAGTCTGACCGCTGCAGGGACATAAGATCTACGGACCCACTTTATAGAACAGCACAGGTGGAGCAGCCTGTGTTCCCTTACTCTGCTTCATGATTACATCTTAACTCCTGTTCATCCAAGTAAGCAGGGTGACACAACACAACCCTACCAGCACCTAATCACACTGGCTGGAAACAGGGAGATGATTAACCAGTAACATGAGCTGGTCTCTGCTCACACCTTGTGTCTAGGCCCTGAAAGAGAGCTTTATTAAGGCTGTTGGAGTTGGTGTGGGGTTCAACCTGCAGAGGGTGGAGTTCCACATCTCGCCCGTGCGCATGCAGGAGGGCCAGGTGTACCGACATACCAGGATGTGCCTGGATTCCGAGGAGGAAGATCCTGATTGGGTGTTTGAGGTAAGGGGAGCTGAGGGGTGACCCTTGATGGAGAGGACAGTGTAAGCCATTCTTGCATTTATACCTATAGTACATAGTAGTAAGTAGTAGTATGTTTTTTCCAAACAGAGGTAAATAGCTGTGTTCCTCTGTAGCCCATAAGGACGGTCAGGGCTTCCCTGGTGTCCCCCACAGGAGAGTCTGCTGGACCAGGACCACCATGTGGCTGTTGGACTCGGGAAGATGGAGCAATCTGCTGGAAGTGTAGCTCATGTGCACAGAATGGTGTTCCGCAGGACCGCAGTGCAACAAACGCAAATGACAAAGGGTGGGGTTCACAGCTTAAAGAGCAACAAACAGGACAGTGTGAAACAGGGAATCTGGACACCAGTGTTTGTTACTATGAGGTGAGCAGGCTCAGGGCACCATAGAAGGTTCTGTTATTGAGTTCATGTCGGTTCTGCCTTGCATGTGCCTCCCTGATGCTCCCACCCAGAACAGGCCTGCTTTATGTTGGGAGGGAACCGCCAATCTTAAATGACAGGGTCATGTTCTGCAGATAACATAACCTGGAGTTCTCTGGAAGTCACAAATCTTATCTGTGATCATGGGCGTAAATTTCATTTAACAGTAGGGGGGGACAATAAATATAAAATTTCTCATGAGCAATTTTTGAAGGAGACACAAATAATAAAGTCAAATTGTACTTATAAAGATATGTCCCCACAATGAAAAACTTTGCTTCT